GAAGAGGAAAAAACATAAGGCACCATGATTCCCTTATTAAAGAGTTAAAGGAAAAAAAGTTTCCGTTTTGTGGATCAGCACCTCACACAACCATTGCAGACCCCTTCCAGGCGTTGCCCTCCACAAGTACACCATGACTTCGTCTGAGGTTGGCATAAAGTACCCTTTCCACCTTGTCCCCGTTTCTTCCACTGGTAATTCTTGGTACTAGTGCGACTCATTGCACGCTCATTTTCGATGTAAAATTTCCTTTTGCTGCAGCCTCATTATTTGCGCTCCCTATCTTTCCGTGACCCACCCCTTCCACCAAGAGCCTGGAAAATGGTAGTGCAGCTCTAGCTGGACTGGGTGGTGTGAGGAAACATGGAGGGGCGTGTCCAACGTGCAAACTACGAACCACGTTTATATAGAATCTTATTTTAGATGGACGGGTGTCTATGCGTACAAAAATGTGCCCACACACACCTATAAATGCACATACGCTCCTTGGATTTGACATCATGCATTGCAGCCATTAAAAACAAGCCATAAAAGTACAGAATTGTCGAAAAGGCAACTAAGCCGCTTGCTTCCCGGACACCTCTCTCAATAGTTTTACCTGAATTAATCAGTAAAAAGAGCCTGCCTCTTCTCAATTCCAGTGTGAGGTGGTCTCCACTCCGGCCTCCTCTGTGGAGCAGAACCCCATCCCTCTGCATGGTTTTAAATTTCAAAGAAACAATGTCCTTGATTGGGCTCAGGGGATTTTTATCAAATCTGTAGAGCAGGGAGCTGTGTCCATCAAGTTCCACCACCTCTGATCCTAGAGGCAAAGAGAGATAGATAGATGTAGCTATAGAAATCATTCCAAAAGTAAGCCATCTTCCATGAAAGCGTGTTCGACACAGGTACAGTTACACAGACTCGCCCACACACTGCCAGCCAGGCCAGCTCGGGCCCCATCTCCACGGAGGAGAATCAGCCCGGTGTGGTCATCGTCACTCATCACGGCCCTGGACGGCAGAGCAGGACTGTCGCCCGGGGGCTCCCGAGGCTGTAATCATCCTAGAAACAGATTGCCTCCTCTTTATACTGCCAAGTGGCTGCTGGACTTGAACCGCAGCCTCTCTGGTTAGCAGCCAAGAACTTGGCCACGGTGCCTCTATATTCCCAGGGCTCTTTCTTTTGCACTAACCGTACCCAAAAATGCACACACCAACCTTAGAAGTATGAAATACTGCATCAAGTGCATAATGCTGCATCAAGTACGTATTACGCTGACCTCTGTGGTTTCTTTCCTTTCACTTGGGCTAAGTAGTGGTAGGCCAGGGCCATGCTAGTCTCTGTATGTAAAGGGCAGTGCTGGGATAAATAGTGGTATGCCAGGGCCATGCTAGTCTCTGTATTTCAAGGGCACTGCTGGGCTAAGTAGTGGTA